TCCCCCTTCAATGTCACCATGTCTCCTCCAACCTAAATTTTAAGGTCTGAGTCTTCCAATTTGAGGCTATAGTACCCAATTTTTCAAGCCATTGGGTGCCTAGGATTACATCAAAGTTTCCCAAAGGAAGGATGAGAAAATCCTGAATAATCAAAATCACTTGATGCTCCAATAGCACCCCCTTACTCTCCCTGAACCGTTTTTCCGGTTCCCAAAGTAACCTCAAAGCTTTTCAAATCAATGATCGGCACCAGCAATTGATGCGCAACCGCTGCAGAAATGAAATTATGGGTAGCTCCTAGGTCCACCATCACTATCACCTTGCCTCCATTGATGATCATGATCCCTTCCATTCGCATGGTTTTCGAGCTAGTTATGCCCATTACGGAGCTTAGTGACACTTCTGGGTTTGGGTCAAGAGGTAAGGTTACAGGTGGTGTTAGTTCACTCATCTCGACGGCCGCGAATCCAACGGATTCTTCACTGTCCTCCTCGTCGTCATCCACAGTAAGTAACACACTTAACTCACGGCGGCGATAACGGTGCTCAAGATTCCACTTCTCGTCACACCAGAAACACAATCCTTCTTCCCGCTTTTGCTGAAGTTCCTTCTTCGTCAACCTCCTAATTCCGCCAGTGTTCTTTTTTGGGTGTTGGTGATGCGGTTAAGGTATGGCTGGTTGGTGGTAGTGTTTAAGGTCGTGTTTTGGTTGTAGTGTTTAGCTGGTCGAAAATTCGGGTTAGAGTGTCTCTACGTGGGTAAGCTACATGGTTTGGGCCTTGGGCTTAGCCGCAACTTCTCTTCGATTCGCATGGCCTAATCCAAGGTTATCAGGTCTAGGATCCGAACCTCAACCCGGATATTTTCTTGCAATCCATTGATATATTGCCCCTTTGCGATCTCCTCATGTACACCCTCAATCGGAGCAAGTAGCTCAATGAAGCGGCACCGGTAGTCAGCCACCGTGCCGGTGTGCTGATGCGCGAGCCAGTGCTCGTGAAGCATGTCGATCGATGTGGTACTGAATTGACGGAGAAGCGACATTTTCATTGCCTCCCACGTTCGCAAAGGATGACGTCGGTGCTCCCATCGAAAACAGAGCATTGCTTCACCATCAAGCGCGACGATGGCGGCCTTCAGTTAGTCTTCCTTAGTGAGCCAATAGAAATGGAAGATCCATTCAGCAGGATCCACCCATCAGGATTTGTGCCATCAAAGAGGGGCAAATCGAGCTTGCGCAACTTCCCCAAAAACCGCCGTCTTTAGAATCTAACTGAGGTTGCGACGCGAATGGATTGTCCGACTGGTATTGTGGTACGTTCACCATGGATAGACGCAGCTCCCAACGTAGCTTCTCGTTTTGGTCACTGAAATCAGTTTTAAGGCTGCTATGGCGGACAATGGTCCGTTCTATGGAGGCTGTGATTTCGCGAGAAACCCGATTAATCATACCAGGAACCTCTTGCTCCAGCGGCTCCAAACGCTGACCATGATTCAAGCAGGCCATCTCCGTCTCCAACTCCGATCATCACTGCTGTGATACCAATTGCTAGGAACTGAGATCAAAACAGAGTAAAACACACAAGTACAAAAGAGGGAAATAGCAGCTAACAATATGATGTATTGATAATCAGTGCAAACAATACAACTCTCCTTCTTTCGAGAGGAAGGAATCTCTCCCAAAACTTCTATCTATAATTTTTAGGATAATCATCTCCTAATACAAATCCCCTATTTATAATCCGTTACTAACAACTTCTACAGCTAAGAAGAAATAACAAACTATTCCCTAAATTACCACATTACCCCAAACCCCACTAACAAACTCATAACAGAATTCTTTTTCGCCTTCCTATGAGCATAAGTGATTATGGGCCTAGGCTGACTCCTTGCAGGACCAACCTAGCAAAAGGAAAAGAGAAGAAAGAGAGGACTAGCGAGGCAAAAGGTCAAGAACTGTGAGATGCTCAAGTTGTGGTTGTTTTGGACATAACAAAAAAAAAAAAAAAAAAAAAAAAAAAAAAACAACAAATTGCAAAGGAGGGCTGACTGGAAAAGAGCTAAGGGTTGGAGAAGCAATTGTGATACAAAACCCAAGAGTGTGAATCAGACAAACGCTGCAAAAGAAGCAAGAGCAAAATCAAAAGGTGAAGGGCATGGTGTAACAAGCTCATAGGCTCACAACTGTCAAGTCTATTTTAGTCTATTGTGTGAAAAAAGGATGTAATTCTCAGATATAATGCTTTTTCGTCTATTTTAGTCTATTTTGAAGTATATAAACCAAAGTTTAGTGCTGTTTGATCACACAATTGGTTAAGATTTTTTTGAGAAACAAGTGTACTTGTTGGGAACTTAGTACAAGTTTTTCATTATATTTGTCTTACTTCTGATTTAACCTTCTGAAACAATATATTAGGGTTGTAGTGTTTTTGCTATAACAGTTAATATATGTCTTTTCTCTATATCACTTCATTTTCCCTAATTTAACTACTTTATTCTTGTTAGTGCACCATTAAGTGTTAATAATTAAAGTAACAGGAAAGTATAACATAAATCAAACACTTTTATTATTATCAATTCAAATAACATCTCACAACTAAGTTCTCATTGCAACTCACACACCCATTCTTGAACTGCATCTATTTTAAAACAACCACCAATAAGACCAAATACATAACAGCAATCTTAAAAGCCATATGAACAAAATTAGCAAAGTCATTTGTCTTCTTCATGAACTTAGTGAATTCTGCCTTTAATAGTTGACCATATGCTGTTTGTGACATGTGACATGACACCGAGTCTGCCACCAACATCCCTTACAATATAGCCTGCACATGTAAAGTTGTAATAGGACCTTCTAGGATTAGCCGTTGAGTTTGAGAACCTGATATCTACAGATCTTGGAGGATTACAGTTGCAGGTAATGGTTTTAACCCACACATCTGTTATATTTTTTATTTCTTGAAATAGATCTTGTGCTAGAAGAGGAAGTCATTGCACATTTGAACTTAAAAGTGAGAAAGCAAAAAAAACAAAAGAGAGAGATTGTAAAAGAAAGTATGGAGAAGAGCATGTATTTATAAGGGTTAATGATGTGGGAATTGATTTATTTTTTTTCAAAAATAAGGAGGGAAAGGTTGGAGGGAGATTAAATGGGAGGGCATTGAGGTCTTTTCCTCTTTTTTTCAACTAACACGTTTTAGATTAACTACCTAAACGTTTTAGTTACTGTAGTAATTAGGTGCCAATTATGAGTGTATCGCTGATAATGAAAATTAATGAGGTGTACCAGAGATAAAAGCCAGAAGTGTACGAGTGATAATTTCCCTACATTATATAATCGACAATTTTATGCATATTGTATACAAGTAAACCAACTTAAGATATTAGGTTTAATTATCAAATGTCAACTTGCTACCCCAGAGTGAAATTACAGTCCACACAGTGGCAGGACTGGACATTAATAGATCTAATACTGGTGTTTGTTGCATCACTGTAAAGGGCCTAAACTGCTAAAGGTATATTGGAAAAGCTCGCAGAAATCAATCACAACGTATGTACATCTTTGATAACAACTGAAGGCTTCAAATTGTATCACACTAGGTGGGTACTAACAAACTATACAAACAAAACCTACCTTCATTATTTATAAGCCAACACACTATTGCAAAGTTGCATCCAGTTGAGACTTAGAAATGATCTTTGGGTGGGAAACCGCTTTCACTAGTACAATGCACATTAATTGGGACTGCAAGAGCATCATTTCACACATATTGAACATCTTAGTTTTAGCAAATAGATAAAAACCATAATTTTTGCTAAATAACATCCATACAAAATCCTTTAGTTTGTTTTTATTGGTCAGCATAAGAACAGTGACATGGATATACCCAATATAAGCAGCTTATATCTATCACTAATAAACACAATTCTCTCCTTCACTGGCATCACAGCCTTTTATACATAAAATAATTCAGATCGTCTTAAATTAGCAATTTTTCTTCAAACTGCTCCCCTATTCGACACAATAGAACAAGCTCACAAACCCTAAACCCTTCATCAATTGAATTAAATACAGAACTTTTAAGCATTTACTCAGTTGCTCTAGAAATTCCTTGTGGCCGACACAAATTCTGAATAATTCATAATTTCTTACAATCACCTCATAAATCAACTCCCCGTTTCAAAATTCCCCTCATACACCCAATTAACCTCAAAACCCAGTTAAATTTTCAGAAAGAGCTTCTTCAACAAATCAAATAAGAGCTACAATTCTAGAATTCTGAACTCCAGAATTAACACACACATGGTTCTATCTAACCTCTACAAATTTACAGTTCCAAGATCAATATCAAACCTCACAATACCAAATCAATCACTGCTTTCCTAGTTCCTTTCACATCCGCCCTCTAACTTATAAACCTCAAAACCAAATTAACTTCACATTCCAGTCATCCTTCAATTCAAGCTTGAACTAAAAATCAACAACCCTAACTCAACTAGGTAAATAATAATGAACTCATTTCAGTTCTCCTCAACTTTCTAATAAATCAAACAATCAAATCAAACCTTATACAACCGCATTAAATCAGTTTGTCACACATCAAATTTCACATGATTCCATTAGCTCAATTCTCATAATACAACCTTCCATTCAACCGAAATCCAGCAGAAACTCCCAAAATTATAACTCTTATACGACAAATTACACAACATTTCATTACCAAGCTTCAATTCAACCCAAACTCCGACTAAATTATACATTCAAATACAAAATTAATCAAAACAGTAGCCTATCCTATCATCAAAATTATCAATAAGTTCAACATCAACATCACCTAATCAATTTACATTCCTCCTCACACAGCTATAACCAACTCAATTTTCACAATTCACCATTTCATCAAATCAAAATTTGACCTAAAATTCAAAATTTTCAACTTTTCAATTCACAAACACAAGCGCGCGCGAACACAATTCAATTCCAAAATCAAATTACCTTAACGTCGGAATGAGAAACAAGACCTAAGAGGAGAGAGAAAGCGCCAGCATCGAGCACAGCCTTAACACCAGCATCAACACCACAAGCGAAGCTTCCGATAACTGCCGAAGCTTGAACGATGACAGAAGAATCACTGGAGGAGAGAGAATTCACTACAGCAGGTACTACGACACCGGATTTCACGTAGGTTAGCTTCTTCGTGCGATTTCCGATGATCTGATTCTTCAATTCTCGAAGTGCTTTGAACTTTGTCTGATTTTCCGGCGATGATAGTCGGAGAATTAGGTCTTCCGGGCGGTTGTTTGTCGCTGATGTCGGCATTGCCTCCGCCGGCGGCGGGGTGTCACGTACAGCACGGAGGACAGAGAAATTGTGGGAGGAAAGAGGAGAAAAAAAAAGGTGTGTTTCTTCTTGCTTTTTGGTTTTTGTTTTTTGTTTTTTTTATTTTACTTTTTTTTTTTGTGGTTTTACTAATCTAATTTTTTTTGGAAAAATTTTACATTTGCTACCAGCAAAAGGACCCTACTTCACATTTGCTACCCCTTTAATTTTTTATTTTATATTACTACCACCCAAACACACTAACTGTTATAATCACTACCACTTGACTTACACCGTTAGTATTTCCGTTACCACCACCCAACCACCGTCCAGCCACCACTCCTTCCCACCCACCAGCTGCCAATCCGCCGCAACTACCACTTACCGTCCAGCCCAGCCACCAAGCCACTGCCATAGTTGCCTGAGCCCAATCCCCTGCCGCCCGCGACTCCGACCACCTTGATTGTCGACGCCGACGTCGCATTCCCAGCCCCTCGAAAACCCGATCAGCCCCTCTCTCCCCTCGAAACCCACCTCAATCTCAGCCCCTCTCCCCTCCAAAAAAAAAAAGAAAAGAAAAACCTAAACTACCCAGCCACCACCCCCTTCCCCCCCAACTCACCGCACCCCTCCCCGAAACCACCACCCACGTCGCACCACCAGCCCCAACCCACCTGAACCCTCCCCCTCCCTTTCCCGCAACCGCGTCGCCCCCAAAAACCTAAAACCCTCGTCTCAAAAAAAGGCCAAGAATCTGGCCTTAAAAGGCCGAAATCGGCCGGTTAAGGCCACTGAGCCCCAAAATCGGCCGATTCGGCCATTTGTGGACAGATTCGTGGTCGTGGTGGGATCTAGGGTTTTAGTTTTTGTGGTTTTTGGGGGCGACGCGGTTGCGGGAAAGGGAGGGTTCAGGTGGGTTGGGTCTGGTGGTGCCACACGGGTGGTGGTTTCGAGGAGGGGTGCGGTGAGTTGGGGGGAAGAGGGTGGTGGCGCGGGGGTGGTGGTTGGGTAGTTTAGGTTTTTCTTTAATTTTTTTATTTATTTTTTTAATTTTTTTGGCCAATAATAATACAACACGTGTCATTATGGACCCACTTAACGGAAAATCTAACGGATTCCGTTAAGTGGTAGTGATTATGAAAGTTAGTGTGTTTGGGTGGTAGTAATATAAAATAAAAAATTAAAGGGGTAGCAAATGTGAAGTAGGGTCCTTTTGCTGGTAGCAAATGTGAAATTTTCCTTTTTTTTAGTGGTATTGAAAATCCATATGACTATATGAGTTTGTTAGTTGGGTGTTCCACCCGGTTCACCCTTTGGGCTAATCCGGATTCGGGGATCAGTTCTGGGTGGTTAGGTTCCAGTCCCCTCCCGATTGCTGTTGCGGGGGATCGAACATGAGTCCTCCCTACCAAGTGTAGTCCCAATCACCACTACACCAACAACCAATTGGTTTTCAAAATTTGTTAGTGAAAAAACATGGGACCATGAGAGCAATCAATTTGGCTCATGAGATGTGATAAAGTTTTTTACTCTTTAGATTGATAGCGGAAATTCTTTGGTGGAGTTTGACTATGGGAGCAATGGTTTTCAAAATTTTGATAGAGTTGATCAGCAATGATTCGATTTTATAATGTGTGATTATGGGCATCTCAAACTTCTAGTTATCAAAATAAACAAGTAAAAAAATTTAAAACTTGATTTGGGGATTCCAATCTCCAAAAGTTGTGTTTAATGGTTTAAGCTAATATCTTGAATTAAAACTTGTATCTATAATTATGTTATGTTTAGATTTCTTCGAGAAATGAAGTAAAAAATTGCCAACATAGACCATTGAGCAAAGAAGTAGTAGTCTCAAAATCATCGAAAACATTGTTAACTTGAGAATTTGCTGGAGAACTTGAATAAACATTCTTTTGTATTTTCATTCATGTAGATATAGTACATCACATATTTTTTTTTTTAAATAACATCACATACTTATAGCATTGAAATATGAGATAACACAAACTCGGCCTCAAACCTATGACGGCAACATCATTCTTTATTGCTCCCGACGTTGATGGGAACTGAGATTGAGTTAGGGGATTTTGTTCAATTTTTGCAGGTACATGTATGGATCTCCATGCCTAAGAACATTGAGAAAAAATTGGTACACGATAGTCTCAATTATTTATTGATAAAGTTGTGTAGCAAAGGGGAACTTGTGACATGGAACTTTGATGCGACTACAATCGATTATGGGACAGAACAAGCAAGAAGTATGCAGCTTCATTGTTGCTGTAACACCCCAATAATTCTCTCTTAAAACCTGTAAATACCCTGAACAAAATCCAAGAGAATTACTGGCGTGCTACCGCCACGTGTTCAAACGTTAAGGCTTTTTCAGAAAATAGCAGCGGAAAACTAAATCAATTATATATAAGTTTCAAAACTAACAACCAAAACCAAATTAAATCTTACATCTTGGAACCCTTAAGGCCCATATTCAAATTAAAACCCCACAAAAGTAATAAATAAATAAAACCATAGTTTAAATAAATTCAAACTTATGAAAAGAAATAAACTGCGAATAATAACCAACTCTCTACTCAAAATCCCACAACCGGATGCGAATGCTGCATATGTAAGAACCTGTGGTTAATCTGCTCCCGAATATTACAAGTGTAAAAATTGGATCGTCACAGGGTCATTGAAAGGCGAAGGCCATGACCAAAGAAAGACACACACAAAAGCACGCAATCAGCAAAGCTGAGTACATACAAGCTGCGAAACAAATAAGAAATCCATAACATGCTACTAATAATCAATCATCATGCATCATTAAATTATAAACTCAACACACGACTCAACTATTCATATTACTAAGACTCCATTAATTAATAATAGGTAAATCATTATTTTTATTCATTGGATTATGCAATAGACAAGGTTGTCCAACCCATGCTCCATTTGGAACATCAATAAAAGAAAAACCCCATGCCTCCTTTCGGAAACATCAATAAACATCCAACGACCATGGGCGCGACTCCGTGATCGTGGTTAGTATGAGATCTCACCTAACTCCTAGTTTTTAAAAAATATTTGAAATAGGAGACTCGTAGATCAGACGGCCTCGATAAAAGTACACGGCTAATACCCCGTGTACCCCAACCCCTGATTGTCATTACTCTAAAAGTGCACCAATCCAGAGTTTTATTTCTCATCCATCTTGCACTTTACGTGATTTACAGTTTTAGACTTGGTGATGACTCATATGCAAACAGTACGATCAATCCAATATCAATTCAATCAAGTAAAACAACTTTCCAATTTCAATTCTTGATTTATTAGTGACAAGCAACATTTATTATTTATTCCTTTAACTACCTCGGTGTATAAACACCTTGAGTGCATAAGGCACCCCAAAGCCTTAACCTCGTCTTATAAGACTGGAATTCTTCCTTTTACTCATCATGTTTGCATAATCATGAATGAGTAATAAATTAATCTTTACACCAATCACATACCTTTGCCTCTAAGCGCACCTTACATAATTAGAGCACAAATAATACTTGCAATATAAAATAGTGCACATCATTTGAAATTCACAATGTATAACCAAACAATTTAACCCAGTCAACCCTATACATGATACTAAGTTCTCGATCCGTCCTTAAACATGCACCTACAAGCAAGGTTTTGTAACTTGTACGTACCTTGAATAAACGAATTGGTATGCCACTTTACTATCTAGAAATCACCTTCAATAAACTCATCTCCTAAACCAAACAATTACATCTCAATCAATACCCAATCAATCAAATTTACAGCAATACTAACTTACTTTAAAACTTTCAAAATCCAAATCAAACAACACTTTAAAACCTTCCCTTTAGTTAAAATTAAAGGCTTATATATAGTTCTTTGAATTTTCTTCATAAAAACCTTAAAATACACTCTTATACATGAAATCACAGCAAGTTTAAAGTTTAATTAAAATCTAAAAATTATTTAAAACCCCCTAATAATCTCCCTTTTTAATGGGTGATTAAACCCTCTTTATAAAACATCAAAAGTAGTACTTAAAAACTATTTCAGCACTTAAAACTTCAATAAAAACATATATTTATGCTTAATTAACTTTAAACATAATTAATTTTATCAATCAAACTCAAGGATAATATTTTAAGTATAAAAAACTTTGTTAAAATAAAAAACTGTCTGAAAATCATATTTAGAGGCTGAATTTGGCCACGAGAGGGTGGTAATCACTACCAAAGGTAGTGAGTTTTTTTTTAAAACGTTGTTTTCACATGAAAAACACTACTTTTTCATAAAAATCGGATGAGTTCAGAACCTGGTCGGAATTAAAACGGGATTAATATTAACGAACGGAAATCTAAAAATTAAAACCCGAATTTAAGTGTTCAAAATAATCTGGAATTAAATTAAAATAATCATTATTTATAATCACCAAAATTTCAAAACATCATTACTCTAAAATCCCTAAATCAATTGTTCATAAAACCCCTAAAATCATGATTTTCAATAATTAAAAACCCTAGGTTATAAAATTTACAAAATCTGAAAATTATGACACTTATAAAATCTGAAATTATAAAGTTTAATCATCAAAATACAATTTGATACTAATTAAATTAATTTTAAACAATAAAATCAAAACCCATAAATCAATAATTGTAATTACACAAATTAATAAAACTAAGGAGAAAGAAAATAAGACTAACCTTTTTGTGTGGGAAATTTTTTGGGGATTCATGGGGTATTTATAGGAGAGAATTGTAGGGTAAATGGGAAGATTGAGCCTCATAAAAATAATGGGTCGATTAAGTAAACAAATGGGTTAGACTTGTGTGATTGGACATAAATTGTAGAATAAAGGTGCATAAAATAATTTGTTCAAATAATTTTCGACCCAGATTAATAATTTGAAACTTTTGAAATTAAATTATGAAAAATAACAAATAAATATTATAAATAAAATAAATTTTCATTTATAAAATATTTAAAAATACGGGGGATTACAGCTGCATTTGTTGCTGCAGTGTCATAGAAAGGCCCTGCCACATTCCCTAGGAGCAGAGTAGGCCCTAGGTTGCTGAGGTACACCGGGCAACCAACTAACCTTTAGTTGCTTACCCTCCCTTATGAAGTTTAATTTACATTTAATTTTAACTTATATATATTTCCAATGAACACCCAATTGAAAGTAACAAAATACTAACACAAAACTTGTTAGAACCTAATAAATGGGATTAAGCTTATTGTTGACAATGTTTTTTTTTTTTTTTTTTTTGGTTAAGGTAGAATTTTGAAAACTAAGAAAATGTATGTAAAACAAAGTGAAATCTCTTTTAAAAAAAGGACAAGCTTAGGGAAACATGCATAGATAGGTATTTAATACCTTCATTGATTTCGAGCATTTTAAGGGTTTAGGGATTATTATTAAATGAGAATGGAGCAAAGTGATTGGGTGGCAAGGAAGAGTTGTTTGTCTCAAGTAGCATCCTATATCATCTTAAAATGCTTTGTCTTATATCTTGCCTAGATCCTAAGATCAACCAAGATACTATCCTTTATTGCCATAAATAAGATTTTTATAA